CTAAAAATCCAAAAATGAATCGGAAGAATGGATGTCTGGCTGTAACTAACGAGCTTGCCCCGTTCCTCGACCTGTGTGGTTTTCAACTGCCAAAGGCGTCCGAGGTAGGGGTCACGACACTCGGGCCTCCCACTGCGAATAGTATAAATATGCAATTCAAAAAGGAGGGTCTTCTTGTGACATCTAAGGTGGGTTACCTATTGTGATTTACAATACTTTCCTAGATATCTATAGGCCATACCTGAATTAAGCCGAGGTTTCAACGTAGTTTGGTCAGGATGAGTCTCAAATATTTTTTTGGCTTCCAGGCTCTGACGGAGGCGACTGGCCAAAACGTTAGCCGAATAAAAACATTGTATCATCTTGGTCGTGGATTCAGAGAGACCTCCAAAGTTACATCTATACTATGCCAAGATTAAATGATAGTCGAACATGGTGACTGTTGAGCTAATTTCACTTTGAATTCTGCTCTACAGCTTCAATACCAGTCGCGATACTCACGCTAACTGATCACTGTCTACTACTGCTTATCTTTGGTCGTGCTTGTGCATAACATCGTAATTTTTTATGCTCCATTATTCGCAACAGCATACACGTCACTACTTCACCCAAAATTTTGTTCGTGTTCCATTCTTAGAAATCGCAAACCTTGGGTGAGATACCGCAGAGTAAAGGGTTCGTTGAGGCACGTAGCTATCGAGACCATTTACTTCATAGTTCATTGACATAAGCTACGGCGTCCCTGATTATGGTTTGTTGACGGAGCTCAGAACTCCGAATACCCTTCTGTACTTCGGTGTGTAGAGAAAATCCGAGCATCGCCCTCCCCACACCGCAATGAATATCGTTGACTGCACTTCCATTCTGCTCTCGGTTCATATCGAAAAGTCGTTAAAAAAGGTGCTTGACGAGATTAAGGCCAGAAAAATGAAGTTGGAGGGGTGTTTGAACGAGCTATACAATATATGTCATTGTTTACGTGTGGGTCTGGTGCCAATAGCTGACTACAATAAGCAAAAATGTTCTTTAAAATTCATTCACCCCTAAGCATGAATTAACAAAAGTATTACTAACATCAAGAATCACTCTCCTTCCGCTTATGGTGAAAAAAACTTTGTAGAGGATGACAACAGTAAAAAGAATTACAGAGAATAACAGAACAAGAGTAAAACATCACCTTACCAGTCGGCGATCACTGATTGCATGCTGAGCATGTGGATTGGTGCAATTATTGCAATCTGTGCCGCCTCTACTGACACACCATGGCTGATGGGCTTAACACCCGGCCGATCCGGTAATGGGGTTCCTATTATGCCCTAGCTCTTGAGTTTTTGGGCCAGACTGCGTCCTTTCCGTTACCTTTGGGGGGTCTGCTGGATAATCGTTAGAGGAATCTAAGAAACCATTCTCATCGTGAGATGTGCCTTTAAGTTCAGGCCTAAACCGATGTCTCCACGAGTGTTGTAAGTTCGGCCAGCATTCGTTCCTGCTGCTCGATGTTGTGTTCGGTGTTATAAGCACGAAGTTATCTGCAAGGCGGGGATGATGTGGGCAACGGTCGTAGATCTTCACTCCCAAAACTTTGCATATCAAATGGCGCATGATGATCTCGAGAGCGACATTGTAAAATGTTAGCGAAGTGGTATCGCACTGTCGAATCCCTATCAGGTTGACAATGAATTCTTTGTAGGTCGCAAAATCCTGATCCGTGGAGGCAGAATCGTCGTTTCAGAGCTCTTGAAGCTTCCTTATATATAGAGTAGGAACAGCGTTGTTGTCCAAGGCTTTAATTACCGCTTCGAACGTCACAAAAGCGGCCGTCCCTCGTCTCGTATTCTGCCAAACCTGTTGAGGATGACTCGTGGGAAAAGTTCACAGGCCTAGCTACTGTTTTGACGATCACTAGGGACGCTCTAAAATGTTCTTGTTTGAACCTGTCGGGCCCTGACGCCACACAGTTCTTCATCTGTGCGATGGGAATTCGAAATTCATAAGGGAGAATTCAAAAAACGATATATTCGTGTTGTCCAAGGTGAAACGCAGTATGTCGATCTGTTGTATAGTTGACCGATAATTCACAGTTTCGTTCCATTCATATCTAATTAATCCTTCTCCAAGGATGGGTTGGTCCTCCGGGAGTCTACTCAATCTAAAAAAGGGTTCCCTTTCATACCTTTCCCTATTCCCGCCAGGTCCTGTCAGATCAGTCGCTACCTCAGGGGTGATCACTTCCACAGTGCCCATTTACTGGTCTCTCCCCTCTGACCAACAACTCCATTTTTAACACAGATTGCAGGAGAGCCCGGCGTAATAAGGCGATCCGAATAGTTGAACAAGTAAGTGGTTAAAATCATCTTTGAGCTTACGTTTGGTTATTACGGATTGAAGTAGTTGCGGTAACGTGCGCCACCATGAGCATAGTCAAGGTGTGAACGTCGGGCTGATAGCTAAGATCAGCGTTAGAGCTGACTGCACATTGGCTGGTTCAAGTCGTTACAAAGCTGAAATAGGCGAACGATTGCAAAAAGGCTTCTTAAAGGCACAGTTCACGATAATTTTGGTAACCCAGATTAATGGAAAAATGGGAGATTATGATGAAGATCGAAACTAGCGCGACTGAGGTGAAGAAACTGCGTGGATCGCCGTTTCCGAAGTGAAAAAGAAGGCTTGGAAAAATCGTTAAAAAGGGGGCTGGACGTGAATGAAACCAGAAAAATGAAGAAGAATGGGGCGTCCAGACGAGCTAAACAGTATGTTTCAGTGCGCGCGTGTGGGTCCTAGTGCGAATAAAAGACAAGGGAAAGCAAAAATTCATTCACTTATAAGCATAAATAAACAAAAAACCCTAGTACCAGCAAAAGTAGCTCACCTTTTTCAGCCTCTATTAGTAGGAAATTGAATAAGGGATCGCGGCAGCAAAAAGAAAAACAGAGGAAAAAAGAATGGGTGAAAAACATCGCCTCATCACTCGGGATTAGCTGATTGTGCGTGGGTCCTAGATTGAATAATAGCAATNNNNCTAGTACCAGCAAAAGTAGCTCACCTTTTTCAGCCTCTATTAGTAGGAAATTGAATAAGGGATCGCGGCAGCAAAAAGAAAAACAGAGGAAAAAAGAATGGGTGAAAAACATCGCCTCATCACTCGGGATTAGCTGATTGTGCGTGGGTCCTAGATTGAATAATAGCAATCTTATTGTCTCGACACTCGTCTAACGTGACACCGATCGAGGGGCGGGAAAACGAAATACGGCAGCAACGGGGCTTCCACTATGCCCTAAGCACCAAGATTGTGGGAGCGAGAGGGTCCCTTCTACCATACCTGGGAGGCGCTGAGTATTCCTAAGGGAAGAACTCAGTAACCTTTTTTATCGTGAAGCGTGCCTTCAAATGGAAGCAGAATGCGATGGCGCATACCAAAGCACGATTGGTCATGGTCAAAAAATTGCACTCTGAATTTTTTAGCGTTTAGATCCTTTGAACTCTTTCTTAGTTATGTAACATGAAATGAAATTTTAGGTGCCACAATTCCTACTTGAATATGCATCAGAAAATAACCAGCCGTTACGAATTGTCTGCACTCAACCACGTCGACTACCAGCAATTGCCGTAGCGAATCGCGTAGCTAGAGAACGAGGGGAAACTCTTGGTTCTACTGTCGGCTATCACATCCGTTTAGAACAGAGGTGGCTTTCTTTCTAATGTGCACGTTTTCTTTTGAAGTTTTTCTGCTGAAATTTCACGTGCGCTTTTCTTCTACAGCATCGAGAGATATCAAAACTTGGCTTTTGTAGTTCACAAAAAGCACGATTTGTTCCTATTTTTGATCACCCCAAGCTTTTTTTTTTCATCAGAGAAGTCCAATCATGTTTAGGACTTCACCCCAAACTGTTCTCACGTACTGCACGAGTGGAGTTCTGCTGAGGATGCTTACACAAGATGATGCGGCGCGTGACATATCTCATATTATCCTTGTGAGTTGAATTTTTGTCGGCCATTCGCAAGTCTTCCTTCCATCAGGATCCATTCATGTATACAAATTCTCTCATGTTGTAATACGGCTCACTTATAATAGGATAGAAACAGATCGGTCACAATTCATTTCTGCCATGTTAGCATTGTTATGTGAATCAAATACAATTAACATGACGTTGATTCTATTGAGCTTCATAAAGTTTATTTGCAGGACGAGATACATGAGCGAGAACAAAACACTGATTATTTGTTGATAGCATTGAAGCAAGCACTGAAAAAACGGAACGATTTGAAGGTGAGGAAGCCATTGTTGTAGTGAAATCTGTGTTGTTCAATAAACAAGCAAAATAATGCTATTCCAGGATTTTCCTTAAGTAGTTCTCTGTTTGATATACATGTGATCATATGTCCTTCAACTAACTCATTCAAAAATTCAGGTCATATTGATGTCAGCTACCATGGAAGGCAACTTGAAGCTATTCACCAAGTATTTCGGTGAAAAAGTCGAGGTGAAACACGTTGACAGTAAGTTCTTGTTATGAATAGACTAATAGCTCTTCAAAATGCTTTTCTACAACTAAATTGAATGTGGAATGGCTCATAATGTCGAGCTTCACCAGTGGTATCCCGAATGCCTTGACAGTTTTTGGGGAATGTGCTTCTATTCGTACCTACGACAACTACCATACAATAGTAACATAGAGACGGTACTGTCCTGCTGCTGTACGTTTGGCTAAAGAGCTGCATGACGGGACCCACGGAACGAGATGGATTGAGAAGGATGAAAGGCTGTCGGAGTTTCTTATGTCGACCCACTCTGTCAAAGGTTATTTGCTGTTCTAGAAGCCCTCTGAATGCGATTGATATGGGAAATGCGACTGAATGCGATGGATATGGGAAATGCGACTTCTGGTGACTTCTGCAGAAACGGCGACTCTATCCTCTGACTCTATCTCTTTCTCTAATCACCTGCCGGCGGCTCTTGCTCCCTGGTTGATACCTAATTCCGCCACCTACGACCCGCGTAGCCCCATCTACAAGGGGGCTAGAGGTCTTTCAGTGGGAGACAACCACGACTAACGAGCGAGATTTGAGGCGATCGTCATAACTGGTGTGCGTATTCAAACCAATGGCCCAACCGTTTCTCAACACGCCCCGCTAACGGGGTGGGTGTGTAGGTATCCATGAGCTGAAGCTCAGGAACAACCGATTCGACCGTGTGAGTCGAAGGAGACAGGGATCGCTGCCCCCGCTACAAGGGTGACTTTTGAGAGGTGGCACACCCTGCTCCCCATCGCAGCCAGACGCATTACGTGGCCACGCAACTAAGGCATAGAGGTTTATCATGAAAGTTAGACACCACAGTGTCTGCAACACAGAGTACTAACAACTTTCCCTCTTCTCTGTAGAGCTAATCTTGCTTAATCGAGGACAATCCGCTGTTCTCGTAAGTTGTCGCCACTTCTTTCTATCTGCGGCATCTCCTGTCATTACATTAGTTTCGGGGAGGTCTTTCTTGATCACGTCCCTCCATTTCTGTTTTGAGGCGCTACGTGGTCGCTCTCTTTCTGCCTTTAACTGCATTCCCTTTTGTGGTGTGGTGTGGTCTTCGCAGCACAAGCCCTTACATCACATACACTGCTCGGTCATTTTCAGCTGGACAGGGACTGTTTGCATAATCGCCCTCACGTCTAAATCTTTAATGCCGTTCGGTGGCATCCAACGATAGGCCTATCTGATCATCCTCGTTATAACGGGGTGAAGCCGGGCTTTGATGATTTTTACTTACGGGCCAGCAATCGTTGGCGGGGAGCGTCGCATTCTTCAACCCTGCCGAAACATCTTTTCTCTGACCGCAAAGGTTAGCAGTGACGGAATAATCCACGCTGCCGTCAGCGGCCAGGTTACTCCACAGGTATCAGAAGTCTGATACCCTTCCTATAGTTCCCCCAATACGTCCATAATTGGCTCCTTCACTACTTGCAGTGGAGGGAGGAACTTGATCTTCTTCACGTTTAGTCGAAGCCCACTCCTGCAACATGTCCTGGAATTTCTCTTTGATCTTCGCCGTCAGAGCGTTGACTTTAGCGTAAATTCCACCCTGGAATTCTGTAATAACGTTCATTCACTTATAGTGAGGAGAAGATAAGAGTACAACCACTTTCATGAACAGTCTTTTCACACTACCATAGAATTAGGCCGACAACTACCTTTTGACTTCTATATAATGAGGTGTATCATTAGCTACGATGGACTCAGATTTGTTTTTTAAGTGGATATTTTGAAATCAGAAATTTTCAATTGTTGGGCATGGTTTTTTTCAAGACTGCTGTATTCTATTGTTTTTCAGTACCGTCTCGATTGTACAATGTCGAGCGATTTTTTCTTGGTGATGTCATAGCAATGACCGGCTTCGTCCCAGAAGAGAGCATGTTCAGCAGTATGTTCATGTCAACTGGCTTTCAAGAAGTGTGCAGGTTCGAATTAGGGCAAATCTAGTTAATTATGAGGCATACCTGATAGCAATGTTGGCATGTGGTTTCCAGACCACCTCAAAATCATGTTGCTTGAACTAGTAACTACATGCACTTGACTGGTTTACTAATCGAGATTGTGTGAAAATCAGTTAGAGGCGCAAATGAAGTCTATATGAATCCATAAAATATTCTATATGTAACCCATTAAACATTAATATGAGATATAAATATACAATTATTAGTGCCAACACCGGCTGTATGTCGTTATGCGCCACTACGGTCGCCGCATTAAAGCTCTGCCGCTGCGCGGATGATTCAAGAGATTTGTGCAATATTTGACAGCATGATGGAGGGTTCCAACACTGACTACCTGAGGTAGTCCTTTTGCAGCTATCTATCTTTGAAGATCACGATGACGTACTGAACGTGATGGACTTGGGAATACAGAACGAAAGTAGGGTGTTTAGAATTGATTAGGAGGCCCAAGCGGCTAAGAGTGCTGCTAACAAGATGTCTAAGAGCGAAAAAGTTAGACGACGGTAAACGGAGGTTGAACCCGCCGAATGATGATTTACAGTGGAACCACAACGAGCACCCTACCACAAGTTATGTGAAGTCGAAAGAAAGCTGTCTTCGTTGCCTTTATGCACAATAGAATAGACAAAAGTTGACACATCTACTGTTCAATTTCTGATTTTGATGAAACCATAGCTAACGCTCTCGAGTGACATACTAAGGATAAATTTTCGTCCTGATCGTCCTGAGCATAGCAGTCGATAGCGTTAGCTGTAATTAATAGAAACCCTAGAGTGATCACTAATCCTGGAAATGACTCCACAGGCAAGGTCCTCCCAAAAAATTCTTTATTGATATCGAAATCGTCATTTCTAATTTTTCAGCTTTCCAACGATTGGTGATTGGTCCATGAAACCTGAATGGGAGTCAGAGCTTCCACAATCGCATCCACGAATGCCAGAAACCATGGTGACTTCCTTGTTTCCTTTATTTACGCTATTTTTGGCCAACTCCTAAAAAATTATTAGTTTTTTTTTAACTTTCTTCAGACCGCTCCAAATTTGCCTTCGCTAGTTGCTAACAATTGTGCAACTCCGAGCTCTTCCACACCAGTTGTAGCGGCTGGTCACCTTGTGACATCGCTTAGCGTGGCTTCTTTAAGCCAACATTCGAAACAACAGCATACGGTCAACTTTATGAATGTTGCTCAACAACTAGTGAAGTGCGTCTGTTCTTCTTTTGTTTTCGTGTTTTTTTTTCTCACTTACTTTACCGCATTTTGTGTAAACGCGCTCCGTACCAAAATTCTTCTGTGGATCTGTCCTACTTAAGCTCCCAACAATCATCATCTACTCACCAGCAGCAGCAAGCGCCGCCATCTGTTAATATTCCTTCACAAATAAGTCATCCCTCTCAACAATCGACGATGGTCCCAACCGTATATCCTCCACAGCCGGATGCAATCTATGTGCAGCACGCAGCGTATCAACAGGTAATTTCTCATTGTGTTGGATCAGTCAATTCTTTTTTTTTTTTTGACTTACTCCTCATCTTTACCATTGTTCATTTCTCCACTTTCACCAGGCTTTGCAATTATAGCAGCGCTTCGAGGTTCTATCTTCATATCTTCAAACAGTTGGGCTATCACGCTAAGGCGTGCATTATATGCTTACGACAGCTCATCTGCAATGGGTTCATTCAGCGCAGTATTGAATTATCCAAATAAGATAGTTCTCACTAGATTTGAACGCTGAACCATTCTGAGAGCATCTCGCTCGATATCTTTCTTTTGTGCAGAATTATTAGTGATGAACGTGGCAACGTCCACCGGTGCAGACCCCACTATGAAAGTTTGGTCAACCCTCTTTTAGCTGTCCCTAACCATTTTTTCAGGTTCCAGAACATTTTCAATCATTATTATGAATTTTCGATAATAGCTCCCTCCACCCCTGTGCAAACTCGAGTCGAGTCAGGTATTTGACCGCATTCATTCCCTCACCTCCGACTACTTTTTTCCGCGTTTTAGAGAATTTTTGAACAGAGCTATGAACCTTTGACCTTAGCTCCGCTCAACTAAGTCCACGCTCCACCCTTTTTAGGGATTTGGCCACATTTCTTACATTCCTTCCATTACCTCCAACTACTCTTTTCCGCGTTCTTCAACGTTTTGAACAGAGTTATGAATTTTTGATCTTAGCCCCTCAACTTTGGTGCTAACGTCGCCCACTCTGGAGTTTTGACCACCGACCTTTTATAGCTTCCTTCCTTTTTTTCCCGCGTTCTAGAACATTTTTGAACAGAGTTATGAATTTTTGATCTTGACTCCGCCCACCTTAGTGCACGCTCACCCACTCCAGAGATTTAGCCACGTTCTTTCCATTACCTTCAACCACTCTTTTCCCGCGTTCTACAACGTTATTGAACAGAGTTATGAATTTTTTATCTTGGCCCCGCCCACTTGGTCTGAATCACGCCCGTTCTACAGTTTTGACCACAGACCTTTAGCCTCACAGGGACGTTTTTGAACGGATTTATGAATTTTTGATCTTATCCCTGCCCACCTCAGTGCAAACCCAGCCCACTTCAGGAATTTGGCAGCAATTCTGTTTCTGCTCTGTCTTTGAATACTGCTCTGTCCTTCAAGTTTGAAAAAATATTAGTCATAAGTCCTCGGACAAATTGGCAATGGTAATATTTAACTTACAGTTTTTAAACGATAATAGCAAATCATTTGAAATACGCCCCGTTGGCATCGATGGTCTTCTGCCAATGCTTGGGCAGATCGTAGTACCCTTACTTTAGAACGCTGGGAGCTGGCCCTTGGAGAACTGCTCAGTGCCATTTTGATGTCGTCGCGGGTTTGAAAGTCTGACCATCCAGATGACCTTGAAGATGGGGAAAAAGGTGGTAATCTGAGGGATCTCTAAGTCTGAGGAACATGGTTGGTGTGGTAAACTTGTCCTGCCGAAATTCGTCAACTCATTTTGGTCGTTATTGCAAGTGAGGGCGAGCGTTGTCGTGCTGGAAGTAAACTTTGTGCTGCTGTCGACGTGTAGCCTCGGGTTTCGCCTTCAAATTTCTCAGTTGCGTAATGTAGACGTGTGCGGTCACTGTGCATCCTTATGTGCAGCTCCCATTATTCGACACCGTGAACGCTCCACCAGAATCAGAGCATAACCTCCTTAGCGTGTACGTTGGTTTGGGGGTGTCTTCTCCATCCGCACTTTTGTCAATCCATTGAGCACGCCGGTGAACGTCAGAGTAGAGGTTCGACTTCGCACCCCTGGTGACTATCTACTCGAGCCACGCGTGATGCCCTTGAGCGTGAGGAGAGAAAGGACCACGTCGTCGCGGCGGTCTATGTCATACTGCTTCAAAACATGAAGCACCCATCGACCGAGCTTTTACACCTTGCCGATTGACTTCAATCCACGAATAACTGTGGACTGACTTTTCAAGAGTGGCTGCCAGTTCACGAGTGGTTTGATACGGATTGGCTTCCACCTGGCTCCGCAGCACGTCTAAATCCAACTCCATTGGGCATCCCGGATGGTCTTTATCTTCGGTGGAATAGTCACCCGACGCGAACTTCTGGTGCCACTTGTAAATTGTACACGTCCTGCTTGTAAACGTCCTTCATACCTCTATCGATTGCCGCGGGTTCATGGCCAGATAAAAAATAAATATGATGGTGTTGCGGATGAGGGGTTGCAACGGCTTGAAATTTTGAGGCACAGTTGCGGGAAAGGAAACAATTAGGTGCCTTTTCCAGTATGCATTCGGAGAGCGTTCCATAACTATCTAACAGTGCCTCGCGCGTTCATTTTCGTCACCTCTTTCCGGAGTTATGATCGCTAGAAGTCATCACTATCACATTGTCCGAGGACTTATGACTCAACCTAATACATCCTCCTTCTCCTCAATTCAATGGAGGAATTATGTGTTGCAAAATATCTTAGTTCTCTTGCGTAGCAGTTGAAATAATTCACAGCAATTTAAAAATTACTATGGATTGGTACTAGAGCAGGGGGTCGCGTGCATTCGGTTTCTGACTTCTCATTTGGGACTGTCGAGTTGATGTAGACCGTGATACATCGTACTCAAATGAGTGGTTTTATAAAATAATCAGATCAGTCGGGTTGCCCGGCCAAAGCCGGGCTCCCCTCACCTTCAAGAAAGAGTTGTAATAATGGGCAAATCGGGCCATCCTTATTCGGAACAAACTTTTTGGAACACGCAACGAAATTCGTCACAGGACTGATAGGGCGCGCAAGTGGTATTCAAACTGAGCCGATGCTTATGACAATGATTAGAAGACTCGATCTGCGAGCCCATAATGCTCAGGAAGCAGCACAGAAGCATAGTTTTTTCAAACTGAGACTGAGAAAGGAAGGAGACCAGAGTGAGTGAGTAGATTGAACGTCCAATTCTTACCTTATTCCAGCTTTTTACTCGAGTTAATCTTCCCACCTATTCTGGTACCGTTCCCCACCAAGATTTAGGTAAAGGCTATATTCTTCTGGTTAATAATATTCTGTGAACACAAATAAGGTCAACTACCTTTCCCCCACTCACCCCCCCCCCCCCCCCCCCCCCCCCCCCTCCTCTGCGCTCTGGCGCTCAATGTTGGGAAAGGACATTCCCCCAACTAAACTTTCTCAGAACAAGTGGTGTGAATTTCAAGAGCAGGAGGACTCGCATAGAAATTCGCTTACTTACGGCAGTATCTTTTGCAGTGCTACAGGTACCTGAATAAACAGAAAGCGGGAAGAAATCAACAAAAATAGAACAGAATGTGGAATTTAGTGGGGTAGTGGGGAACAGAGGGGGAGGGTACGAACGTGCGTCCGAGGGTGCGCGCGGCAAATTGCGCGGCGAAGTTCGTGACAATTTGTACGACTGCGGCGCCAATTTTCGGGGAACAAACTCGAAGTAGTGTAGCCTAGTAGGTTCAGGTGGTCCTCCTAATCCACGCTATTTCAATTTTGGACCCCAATGTTAGGCGCAAAAGTCGTTCAAATCATTACCAACTTCGCCGCGCAAGTTGCCACGCGCATCCTCGGACGCACGTTCGTACACATACCCGGGAACGGAGCAATAATTTGCAAGAAGAGTCGGGCGAAGGGCAGCAGAAGATTGTGATTGCAAGTAACGTGCAAGACCGCTGCAAGAGCGCTCGAAGATGCGTTGAGATATGTGCGCGCGGGGAAATGATTTAAGCCGTAGAGCAATCCAATGAATGGACACGTTCAAGTGTTTCTCATCAGAACTAATATTAGCTCAACTAATTAGTTGTCAAGTATGGACGCGATTCATTCTGCACACACGATACTTACAAGGTTTACATTAGTCTAGAAGCGTGAGCGCTTTATTTATATTTAGCTTAGTAAGATTTGTGCTTGTTTTTCCAGAGTTATGGGCAACAGCCGCATGGGTATCAAGGTGGAGGTGTTCGTCAGGTATATTCTCAGCAAACAGGGACCGGAGCTGCTCTCCAGCATTGTGAGTTTCGGAATTGATATTTTTGTTAAGTTTATGGAGCGCAGTTGTGATATCGAAATCCTTTTGTGTTTACCTCGCGAAAATCAATTGTAATGATTGTTTTATTATTTCAACAGCTGATGCCATCACCTATTTTACATTTAGCAGCTACGTGGGGTGGTAGCATGGAGCATTCTTTTCCTGGCGTGTTGCCTTCACATCCTGACGTCGTCGATCTCCCTAGCGAAGCACTGGACGCCGAGACTCTTGAACAGTTTCGTCAGATGGGTCAGTTTTTAAAAGCGGTGTGCGATAAGTCTGGTGTGGATAAAAGTTGAATGAGCTGTAAGTGGTCTTCTGTTGCTGAGAAAACCAAACGAGAATGAAGTATACACGGAGAAGTCTGCAAATTGCATTTGATTTAACCCGGTTTACGAGAACAAACCTTCGGTGGCAGTTGCAAGGGCTCGCCTGTTGCTAACATATAATCTGGCAATATCAAAGGTTTTGCTGATCTTGCGACTTGATTTTATCTGGTTACCAGTTGGACATAAACCAGGACCGTATACCTGTGCAGTAGAGATGCTCAATTCCCTAAAATAGGTAGGATTTCTCACGATACTTCCAAAATTGGAAGAACTATTGTGGGAAATGAAATCGATTTTTTGCCATCAGTTTCAACGGCAGTGTTTCTTTATCGCCCTTTATTACGCCTATATTGTAATTGAGTGTTTCGAGATGACTTTGCCGACTTCTTTTATCACCTTCACATTTCGCAGGGATATTTGAATGGGAAATGGACTTCACTCCTCTGCGGTTTGCTTTAAGGATCATGTGACCCACTTCCAGGCTACAATAACAACGACGAGATAATGACGTCAGTCGGTTATGGAACTGAATGGAGAGTGCCCGATGACGACGTGCAACCGCAGTGGCAAAATACGGTTCGTTAATTCTTTCGGTTACTGTTTGTAATATGATGAGATGTACCGATCTTTCCGAATAATATTGAGGGGGAACTGTCGAAAATTGCTCTCTTTCTACAGGGTGGGCTAAAATTATGATTACACAGATATCACATCCCCGAAAACGAATAGAAAGCTAAAAAAGCAAACCAATTTCATAGAAGTGTCTATCACTAATCTCTTATCAAAATAGTACATTGAGACTGGGATCTGTTGCTTTCTGCTTTCACTCAACCCTAGAGACGACGATGGACGTCATTGACGGTGGCACGCAGCTAAGGTCATCGAGTTGATCCTGGCTTTTTGCAAAGCATTTTCGAGATTACTTCTTTTCTTGTTTGGGCTGACGGAAGCTTTCATCTCAAAAGCTGTCCACACTGAGACACCCATGGGATTTAGGTCAGGGCTCCAGAGTGGTCACTGATCGAAGGTTATGAAGTCATGGAATCCCTTTTACGGGATTTTTAGACAATTTCCGATCTGCAGTCAGGAGCATCATCTTGACAATATGTCCGGTTTGAATCGCCAAATTGTCCTACTGCGCACGAAGAGATCGAACGGGTCTCCAAATCAACTTTCACTCCTTATTTTACAAAAATAATCGGTGCTTTCGCCTCGGCGGTGATGCTCGCAAAGGATATTGCAGAAAGTCAGCAATCCTAGTGCTGCATCACTTCCATTTATTTCTGCTTTATACAAAACTTGTAGCCCTGCTTACTGGGCACCTTTTTCACCGCGGATATCTTTTCGCCGGTGGACGGGAATTCCGTACGACAATTTTTTGTATGCGGCGGGGCAGCTTCGGTGAGCCAACATTTCTCTTCTTTTTAGCCCGTTTACTGAAGAAATCACTTTGTGATCGTATAAAGGACTTGTCGTGCAGGTGACGCTTTACGATTTCGCGCAGAAAACTTCATGAAATATCCATTCATTTAGTCATTTTGTGCTCAGAATAAACTTCGCTACTACGCAGACCTTCGCCCTGCTTCCTTAAAACTCCCACTCAATATAACCGCAGGCCTCTTAGGTTTACCACTCCTATCTGCAATTATTCCCAACTCTCGAAAGCGTCTTATAAACGAATGTACCCTCTTCCTTGTTACGCTGAATCGTCTGTAGATGCACCGTGCCAAAAGTGCTTGTAAATGCGAAGTGACGATTTATTCACGGGGTAATTACGCTTGCATTATTTCCAAGATCTACCAAAAGTTTAGTATCATCAGGAAGGTAATAAGGTAATCTACCTTGTGAAATAGAAGAAAGCGAACGAACTGCTATGCCCTCAGAAAAAATTCGCTAGGAGCGTCAGCGCGCGCTGTAATCATAATTTTGGTCCACCCTGTATTCTCTTCTTTAAATTTAATTCTGTGATTAGCAACTATACTTTTTTCTATTGAATCTTTTTAGCAGTCATATCCTACAATACCGACAGTAGCTTACCAACAAGGAAATTTGCATAGCTGGGACTCACAGGTACTCTACGCTCCTCAACCAGCGCCCTTCAATAAAGTTTGTTTTTTATTTGTTGTTGTAGTATTTTAGAGGGCAGGGAACAGGGTTGCGAAAAATTCTGCCTTTCAGTCGAAAAAATTCAAAAAAATATTCCTCCGGTTATTTTCCCAGTTTCTTCACTGTAGCGCCTTCCTTTACCCGATATAACTTACCAGTCGGGTCGCTCGGCTAACGCCGGGCTTCCCTCCCTCTTATGGTGTCGCCCGGCCTCGCCGGGCGCTCCTCCTTCCTGCAAGAACTTTGCTATGCGTAAATAACCCTTCGCATTCTCTTTTTTCTTTGAAAGCCTGCACCCTCAGTATTAGCTCCGATTGGGAGCGATTTTTTCTGTAAGCCATCTTCGCTGTTTTCGGATAGACCGTGTAATATCACAAAGGCGATTATTCAGAGAGAAAAAAAGACGGATGGGCTTAGAAAGCGTACCTCCGTGAAATTTCCGTGCAATTGGAATACTTTGAACGCCTTATGACCAAATTGTCAATTTTCGCGCAAACCCCGCCTCCTGAAACACGAAACTGATAGAAGACAAAGCAAACCAAGTCATCCGCAGCCTCACTATGTTACGTGCGACATTATATAGTGGGGCTGCGGATGACATGGTTCTCTTTGTCATCCTCTACAGTGCTACCGCTTTAAGGTATAAAGTGAGTCACATTAAGTCAGATTCCTTCAGAATGACTAAAAACAGTGAGCACCATTATCTGGTTGCAGTAGTTGCGCTACAGGGTGTATATATTGGGTTGTCTGAAAAGTCTCCGCCGATTTTTGATTCTTCATTGAATGAAAATTCCTGGAAGAAGAAATCCATTGATTGAACAATATATCCTCCATTCTGTTAGTAAGGATTCGCCATTTTCCTGTAGGTTCCAGTTTCCCACTTTTTTGGAAGGTTCCAGACCTAAAATCGAAAAACCTCTCGGTGCTTTTCGCAGTCTTCAGCGGATTGAACGATTTTCCATTCAAAGAATTTTGCAGAAAACTAAAGAAGTGGTTTTTTGATGGTGCTATATCCGGACTACATGGGGGGTGTGGTAAGACATCCCACCCAGCTTTTAACAATTTTTGACGAGTGGCCAAAAATACGTGTGGTCTGGAGGTGCCCTGTTGGAAGATTACGCCCTCACGATTGGCCAGTTCGGGTCATTTCTGGTCTATCGCTGCCTCCAAATTTTCTAGCCAACTATAGTACCTTTCTGAAGTCATCGTTTGATTATGCGACAACAGCTCATGGTAAGTGATTTCCCTGGAATCTCACCAGCAACTTGGCATAGCCTTCCGCACCTAGTTTTTGACTTTTGCAGCGGTTTGTGACGGTTCACCAGGAAGGCCCCCCGCTCCTCATTGTTGTACGCGATCCTTTTTCGTCCTCCGTACTCATGGGTTTCAAAAACAGCTCATTTTCATTTCGACTGAGCAAGGAGTCGCACACGGAGCCGCGGTCCAACATATTGCGCTCGCTCATTTCGTGAGGTATTTCAACCTCAAGGCGCTTGACAAAGCCAAGTTTCAGCAGATGATCATGGAGTTGATTTCGTAACATGAAGCATTTGTCCTACTTCACGAGTAGTGATGTGTCGATTCGCTTCGGCTCACATCTTGATTTGGTCGTTGTAACTTATGACAGTCTTCCTGAAGGTTGCCAGTCTTCGAAGGAAATTCACTCTGATTGGATTTTGCAAACTGGTCATGCACTGTACGTTCCTCTAGAGTCAACGCCATATATCTTTTTTGCGGCTTAAGCCGCATTCTAACCTTGCGGTAGAAGATATAATTCATATGCCAAGAATGCGCGCAGTGCTTCTCTATATTCACACGAGTTCTGTACAGAAGAACGTCGGCAAATGTTGACAAAATCTTAACAGGAGTTTATGAGGTTGGGCCCTTGATTTTTTGTACAACAGTTGATTAATCCAGGGTGTCGAAAGTCGGCGGAAACTCTTCGGACAACCCAATAGTTTATGGAGAGAGTGCTCTCTGATTGGTTCCACCAGCACTGCTGAATACATCTTTTATGTATGTGCGCGTATTAATTGATTGGCTCATATTCCAGATAAAGGTTGCGAATTCTAATAGAACTTCGAATAGAAACTTAGGAATATTGATATAACTGAAATACCGTCTACGATTGTGGCGATTGGAACTGATAGAAGAGTCTCCTCAAAAAGTTGTGAGAGCAAATTCAAGCTCGAAATTTTGAGATAGTGTGCAGTTGAAACGCGCAGTTATTCGAAGCGGCAGCAATCGTCGCTGTGGTGTAGTTGTAGTGTTCTCTTCTGGCGAATGATGTGAATTTGACTTTTGCTGCCACTTTTAGCACAGGGTACTTCCTGTTCAAGTTCTCAAGTTTTCGTAATCAACGATTCAGCAACTACTTGTACTAATGCTCAAAAACGATATTCTTTTGATAAACTTTTGTGATGTTGGACTGATTGCGTGACCTATTTACGGAGAAAAAGAATTTCATACTCACGATAAACATCAGGAGAAACAAACTTGATCTCACACAGCTACCGTTTCACGGGGTTAGTTTCGTTGCCCTTGCCTTTTTAACTAGGAGTGCCACCGTCTTCATCATCGTAATAGTCCCAAATTTCACAGGAAACTCTGACCTCCAACTTTCATCCGTTTTGCCTTCAACTACCGCTGCGTACCGTCACGAAGTATAGCGGCAAACCGTTCAGCTGCCTTCTTCGTTATTTGCAGATTGCTACCATCAAGTAGTTCGAATTCAGCAGAATCATCGACAAACGTATGGTAGAGAAGGGCGCGATAAATGAAGGTCAATCAATAGCACAACGGCGAAAGTCTATTGATCTGCCGCGTCAAAATTTTGTTCCATCTTCACGTACTGTGCTCGGCCTTGAGAGGAATGAAGACTCTCTGCGCCACAGCGACGTTTGCTGCCTTTTCGGGCAACTGCGCATTTCAACTGTACTGAATCTCGAAACTTGGAGCAAGCCAACCGTGGACGCTAATAACACTGTTTCATACTCCCATATCTCGATTCGAAGGTAGAAGGTATATTAGATTAGACAAACTTCGCGGGAGAAGTGTAGTTATTCGGGCTCCATTGCGGTGGAATGGATCTATATCAATTAGTACCGGCCAATAGCGGATTGTACTCTAGTCCGTGTGCTAGGCATCATTTCCTTTTAGAAACAAGTTTTGACGGAAAACAGGGGACTGGGTAAAGTAAATGCGTTCGAACTATAGAAAACTTGCCGTTGAAACCGATACCAAGGTGTGACTCGAGCTTGTACCTGTGCTTTAGGAGGCGCCCTAGTTCTCAAACAGGTCGCTTCGCACCTCTAGTAATTCTCATGTAGTGTGACCCGGGTTAATCAATTGACCGGTGACAACTTTACCTGGTCCATCTCAACACGTTGAAGACGAGTGCGTTTTTCGTTTGCGCTCCCAAATGACGGGGCACTTTGAATGCGCTACCAATCGTCAATCACCATTGGCTGACATTATTA